CAACAGAGATGTGCGACTTACGTGCCAAGCCCAGGCCTGTAAAACTTAAAATAGATCGAAATCCAATCATTAAAATCTCATATAAGCTTCAAAGCAATAATGTGGTTACAAAAGATTTTTCAGTCTTTTTAAATCTGCAGCTTTCATTAAAATAATCTCTTGTCATCCTGCCATGAAGGTCGTTGTTCATGCACTCCCTGTTATGGCATCTGTCTCCCATTTGTGCTCTTGAGTTGTCACCCTGTCACATGTGTCCCTGGTGGAGACTACAAAGTACATTGACACACATTACACATGTATGGTCCGCCGTCTTCAGAAAGCGGGTCCAGAGCAATGTTGCTGAGCTGATGCTGGTTTTAGGTCAGTGCAGGCCATAGACAGTCAGGTTGGGGACGAAAAAGCTAACTGACGCTGGACGATCTGCAGCCAGATGTGTTCTCTCTCTCTCTCTCTCTCTCGCTCTCTGTTGTTTTATCACGAACAACAAACTTCAGTTTCTTATGGGAACATCTCTTTCACCTGCCATTGTTAACTCAAGCATGTGCTTGCACATAATTAGTTGTCCTTTAACCCTTTTGCTGCCATGGATGCAAGTGTGGTAGCACCGACCTGTACACAGACTCCTGTACCCAGCTATAGCAGCTGGGAGCTTGTTTACACTCCCTCAGCCAGCTGTCAGCTTTCATGTGGATTTGGGTGGCTGTAAAGCAACCCAACAACGTCCACATGTGCAGTAACTTGCTGCACCCCCGGTTAACCCTCCCGCCATGTATTTCAGGCTCTTCTGCCCCTCCTGAGCACCCAGGACTTGTGGGCAGATGGCAACGGGGAAAGTAGAGGATGATATCAATGAACATCTGCTCACTGATCATCCCTGCAGTGAATAAAGATGGAAGCGACAAGCTTTTCGCCACTTCCGGTTTCATTCCCCTGTCACTTCCGATGTGCAGTCACATAAGGGGCCTGCCAGCCCCCTGTGTGATAGCAATAATGTTAGATGAAAGAAAAGAAAAGTTAAAAAAAAAAGTTTAATAAAAATAAATCAAAAAAGCCAAAAACATTTTTAAAGTCAGCACCCCCACAAACACATGCAAACGAATGTCGAGTGTTCTTTTGTACAAAAAGGACAATTGCCCATTATGTATAGCTGTGCACAGCAGAGTGAGAACAATAATTCTAGGGCTATCTTTCATGGTTAGCTCTAAATTTATAACCTGTATATGCTTTTAAATGCTTTTAAAGCGTCGCCTATGGACACTTTTTGGTACCGTTGTTTTTTCGCTGTTTCACAGGTGAGTGCAATTTTAAAGCTTGACAAAAAAATGGTTATTCTGTTGTGTTTATGTGCACTAAAATTTATTTGATCATATCTTTTACTGAAAAATTGGTTAATAAGCAGTTAGGCTAATATCCTGTAAGTATAACATTGCATCTGCCACCATTTTATTTTACAGCATCTCTGCTTTTAGGAAATATATCATTGAGGGGAAGGGGGGTTAAGGCCTAAAAGATAGTATTCGTTCATGTGTATCTACAATAAACCCTTTTGCAAAAAAGTGCACTTCTTCAACTGTTTCCATTGTTTAGGGCAGCTTTGGTCATATGCGGCCCGGTACCATTTGATCCGCGGACCGGTACCGGTCCGCGGACCGGGGGTTGGGGAACACTGATACACGGGATCCAAGGCTTATAGCAGCTGTGTCAATAAGAGTCAACAAATGTCTAACCTTTGGCATAGCTGACCTATGGTATTTATGGTACTATGTTGCCATCTGTTTGCAGGCAGAAATACTTCCCTCATGGAAACTGATGTAGGACCCAAGTAGAAAGGGCTATGATGATGTGGGGATGGCTGCTTTTTAAGATAAAATGGTTTGCAGTTTAAGCTGAAGCAGGACTCTACCACAGGGGAATACTGAAGTTCCACTACAAGAGAAAAAGAGGCTGCCAAGATCAAGAACCTGTTTTCCTGCTATTGCTTCATGCCTGTAGTCCTGTTCACTAACATTTATGGGCCAGCTATAATGGAAGCTAAAGTAATGTATTCCTGTTGCATACAGACTATTGCCAATGTTTGTTTGCTAGGGCAGGATAGATCATGTCTGCATGTATGTACAGTATGCATACACACTGTATTTATAGCGCTCTGTATGTCTCGTATTGTCTCCCTGTAGCTGTCCGTAGTTTGTACTTTCATCATTCTGTTTTATAAAAGCACATTAGTATACTAATAGGTTTGATCCTCGGGCTTTATTGCTAGAATTAAGACAAACAGCCAAAAGGAAAAAGCAAGGTAATTGGGGGCTCGTCCGGGATTTGCACTAATGTCCAATTAAAACAGATCTTTTTCCTGTAGTTTTTTTGCTGCTGCTCGTTGTCATGGACAGGGGTACAGAGGGCACAGAGATGAAGGAGAATGACTGATGCACAAGGTATCGCTGTCCATTGCGCAGAAACCGACCAGCATGCTGGTCAGGAGAAATATCACGAGAAGCCCAAGTTCCCCAGACACATGTAATAACTGTAAGCAACATGCACACACTAATACCTCACTGTTGACCCAGATGTCAAGGAATCACACAGTGGTCCACCTACTAAAGCAAGATCTTTGTTTGGTGGAGGAGTGAAGAGAGAACTTACTTTGGGAAAGTAAAACAAGGCTTTGAAACAGTTATCACAGCCTACAGTACCACCAATGGAGAGAGACTCATCCAAATGTAGCTGGCTGGACACACACGGGCACAAACAAATCTTTTATACAATCTGGTGCACTCCAAGGGCTGTGGAGCAGCCACGTGATTCTCACATGTTCTTCTTTGGCTACACTGCGAGCTAGAATCCTTTGCATTATCACCTTTCTCACTGTCCACACAAAAATTGCCACCTCCTGCAGTCTGTCAGCTGACTGGTGTGCTAGGCAACCATGCATACACACACAGACACACACACACACACACACAGACACACACATGATAGTTTCCAAATACGGACACTAATTTGCATGCAATTTCACACAGGTTAACAGCAAACAGGTACTGGTAATACCAGGTAGCAATCTCTGTAGGAGAATGAATTCTTAGCTTAGCAAACCAAAGTCTGGTATTTATTTTGGAAATTTAATATCCCTAACAACTACAAAAAAGTGACACACAGAAATGTGGCTATTTGCTTTGAAATAAAAAGGGAGAAAGGACAGAAGTTAATTTTACTGTTACTGTTGTCAGGGGCATGCAGGAAAATTCAGCAATTCGCCTGTTCATAACAGGCTCGAATTACCCCATTCATTTTAACTGCTGCTCAATTTATAGAGGAATGGATGTGGGACGGACTCCTACCCTTGGCCTGTCACCTCTAGAGATGTTACCTTACCTGCTGTGAGGAGAGGTCTTTCTTCTATAGGTTATATGGGCCAGCCGATTCTGATGTCTGGATCAGGGTTAGGATTTTTGATACCAGCACATCATCGCAATCACAGTAAGTCCAAACTCGACATGGCTGCCATATATGGGACCTATACAACTGTTTAGTCTGTCCCTTTGTTGTTCTGTAAAGCCAGGATATACCAATCTGCATCTGCATGAAATTTATAATGTGTACTGTCAGAAGGGATTATTTTCATCTCCTTACGACTAATATTTTGGATTCTATTAGAGATAAACCATATAACCTCTGCTCTGACCGTAAGAAGATAAATGTTGCAGTCTGGTGCCTCCAATATTGGATGACTTTGCCCCCTACTAATTTTTGCAGCAGACATGTCTGAAGGACTCTTTTGAGGGCTGGTGAGGTGACAGTTATCCACCCTTACCTGCGCACAAGCCTACATGACCGGTCAGAGCTTGTTAGGAGCTTGGTTTTAATGTCTTCGATCCCTAAGCCCCAGCTGGCCACAAATCACACTCAAATTGTGGACATGTGTTTACTACGGAAAGCTGCATAAACTGTTAGGCCGGGCTCACACCTTAGGTGGCACTGTTTGTGCACTTTGTACGCGCTCGTTCACCGTGCTGTTATTTACACGTTTATGCGCGTTGTGCACATTTTTATGCGTGTTTGTACGCGCATACAAGAAGACGCACGTTTTGACTGGCAGCTTAGGAAACATTGCAGGAAATGGACGATTGTGAGTACAAACATGCACGAAAATGTGCAACATGCTTCTGCTGCGCTTTTTCGGGCATATGTGGACACAAAGTACAAAACCTGACACATTTTTTATCTTCTTCACTAGGCATAAATAATGTTGGAGAGATCCAAAATGAAGTAAGGGAACTGTCCTAAGCAGGGGCACATATATAAAAGCCGGAAAGCAATTCTAGCCTTTGCCATGGTTCAATCAAAATGTTACCTTACCACCCATTTGGTATAGGTTGAAGATCAGGGATGCTTATTAATATGCTTTATTTTTAGCCTGTCTTGAGCACCAAAACTCCTGTGCTAGGAACTATTTTGCCCAACCATAAATAACCAAAATGTTGGATGACTGTACCTTCTTTGGGTCTTTTGTGTCTTGTTGGAGCACAGTTCTGGCAAACTGACAGTGCTTTACTGAACACACTTTTGCTCAGTAACACTCACTAATACAAGCTTCACTCATGGCAAGTTCAGTTCAAAGCCCAACTTCATCCCAAACTTTTCTAGTCTGGTATAATGTGGAATGCTAAAATTATTTATAACCTGAGATATCATACATTTTCTAGGTGGATCCAATCACCATGGAATGTGTGAAGGGAGATGCTGATTGTCCAAGAACATGACAAGAAGGTGTGAAAGTTTGTGAATAAGGCAATAGGTAGAAAAGGATTAACGCGTCACAAGCCTTTACTCCTCCCCTCAACATCTGCTTTAAGACATTCCATGATGATTGGACTAAGGTCACTGAGTTACCTGGTTCCGAGCACTTATTAGAAATGAGGAAGCCTTCAATAGTATAGAAAAGGTCCATCTGATTGTGACCAACTTCACCTAGCTAAAAATATGAATTTCCATTTGTGTGACAGTGATGATTCCTGCAGTAAGAAGTTGCTGTGCACAGCCTGGGACATTCGGGAAGACTGCCAGACAAGCGGCACCACATTGAAGCAGCCTGGAGACGAGGAGGTGGTGACCAAGGCCAGTTTGCACCATACAGGCTCTCCGGTGAGAATGGGCAAAGGGAAAAACACTGCCACTTGTTCGCACGGGAACAACAACGACTATGAGCTGTCCTTGGATCTCAAGAACAAACAGGTGAGAGGCTGTGGTAGATGGACATGGGACACGTCTCTGAGTCCCAAAGCTACTTTATTGCTGCACTTAGATGGTTGTCAATGTTAAGTGATCAGCAAAGCAGCAGTACTCTGAGTCCTTTGATAACATAGGAATGGGCAAAATTGAGTTTTAATTTCCCCAAATTTCAGCAAAAATATGAAAATTTATGTGAACTTTTTCTGCTTGGCAAAATGCGTTGGATTTAATGGGAAAGGTCAAAGATCAGGAGGTTTTGGGGTTTTAAGGTTTTAAGGTTTAAGCTTTAGATGGCTGCTGAGGGTTGCAGAAGCCTCTTTGAAATATTCCAGACCTGTTCTTGTACCAAAAATTTTTCCTCATTAGCCCTATTAATGTTATCCCAGAAAAATAACAGACAGCAAAAAATAAATTAAATTAAATTAAAAGGGGCAACACACCAATAACAATCAAACTTACAAAGAAAAAGAAAGACAAATACAAAGAACACTAAAGCGGGTCATATACCGTTATGTTTTTTTTGTTCGAACTGCGGGCTGGAAAAAAAAAAATTATTCCTCCATCCACGTTAAACAGGTGGACTAGGCTATTGTATTTTAACAGAGGCAAGTGTGCCGCTGTCAGAATACCTGAAACTCCCAAATAAACCTACACCCTGTTGATTAAAAAAAAAGAGAAGATCATTTTCTTTTTAAAGCTAATTTTGAAAATACATTGCTTTGGTGTCATTTTGGCCAATTACAAAATTGGTAATTACACACCTTACAATTATCGTTCGATTTCTTTTGTCCTGTCATCGAACCCCCGTTCAATCTTTGCTCAAATACCCCATCATGTACAGACCAATGTAGATTTCAATTATTATTCGTTAGCAATACAAACTGTCCGAATTTCATCGATCGACAGAACGGATTTTAGTTTGCGCATGTGCAGTGTTCGTGTTGCGATTTTTTTCTATACAAAAACGGCACTAATCCATCGATTTTTGTACGATTCGAAGAAAGATTTCTAGCCTGCCCTATAGACAAAATCATAGACTAAATTGTTTTTAGAAGGTTCATTTGATTTTCTAATAGTTAATGGGGTCAAATCAACGAGCGACTTTAACCGTAGTGATGGTTGGAAAGAATTAGAGGAGCAAGATGGAAATTTTTTCTCGAACGAACAAATTTCCGACCGTGATTGTGGTTTTCGTTTGGGAAACTTCATTAATTCCAAAATTGAATGTTAAAATCAAATGGTTACCAAACGCAGCTGCTATGTTCTCCGCCGCTTTTTTGTCATCCTGGCACCCGGCTCCAGGTTCAGTACACTGCACTGTGTATGTGCTGTAGGCAGAGTACACACAAAACAAAATTTCTAGAAGAAAGGGGAAGGAGGTTTTTTTTGGAAGAGTCATATAAAGTCTCTTCAACCAAAAAAGTTTACCAATTTTTTTTTACTTCAGTTCAACTTTAAAATAGGCTTTTCAATTATTTTAGAAGTACATTAATACATTATTGACACCCTATTCAGCATCAGTTTAATTTTTCAGAAAAGTTTAACCTTTTATTAAAAAGCCATTCCTAAGGTCCAGTCCAATGACTTTACCTAGGCTGAGATGATGTCATCAGTCGGCGGCAGGCAGAAGGAAGCATTTCCTCAGTCACATCTTCCCCGTGATCAGACTGCAACATTGTTCCTTTGTAGCAAGTCAAGACATTTGTGAACACAGCCAAGAACTGCACAGGCTCCAGAATTTACTTAGTTGTGTCACCGCTGAGCTGGCGTCTGAGTCCGGGAAGTAGATGATGACCCTGGATGATGCCCGAACAATGGCACTGTCCTTCTGGAGATAAAAGCAGATAAAGCCATAGTCTGGGGAGGTAATGTGATCCCACTGAGAAGTATTAAATACCTGGAAGTGTTACACTGACACATAACTTAGCATGCATGAAGGTACCATGAAAAATGATATCTGGTGCTAGGTCCGCTTTTATGGGATATGGATGGGAAAGGTTTAGTGCAGACAGAAATACTGATTGGCCTCTGCCTATGATTCATAAACACAGAGTCCTTATAGATTCTCCTGACCTTCTTTGCTTTTTCTTCTGGAATGATATAATTTCCAAATACCCGCTGGCAAAAGGAAACGCTGAACTCTCAATGCCATTTGGGGAAATGTGATTAGTATCTCTTTGCGTCTTTGCAGTATTACAGTTCGTGCCCTCTGAAAGTAGATTTATTTTATTCCCCCTTGAACATTAAGCCGGCTCGGTCATCAAACCGCCACTTCCGAAGACAGCAGCTCAAAGCCGCCTGTTAGATTCCATGTTTGTTAGAAAGTGACTGAAAAAAAAAATGATGTTCTTATATTTCACTGCATTATAAATTCAAATGTCTTATATCTCAAAAGATGCTACAATATGCCCGCTGTGCAGAATAAGGGCGCATTCTTATACGTGAATGTGTTGTTAAGGAGCTCCAGGAATGTAAAAAGTTAACCCTTGCAAGGATTAACTGTTTGTTTTGGTCTAGGGCCTCAAATTAAAAAAAATACTCACCTAATCCTTGGTCCCTCTGAGCTGCCAGACCACCCCCCCTGCAGCCTCTTCTCCACTGAGCCCCAGCGGTCTAAGGACTGCTGACATCTGAGGGACATATCACAGCTGCAGGATAGAGGATCAGAGGAAGTGTATCTACTGAATACTGGCCCAAGAGAAAAATGTGCAGTTAACCCTTGCAGTGCGGGGCTAACCCTACTGCAAGGGTGAACTATTTACATTCCTGTAATTCTTCTTTAAAGCTCCAGCCTTGAGCAAGAGAAGGAAGGGTAAAGCCACTGTCAGGTTTTTATTGCCACATGTTTCCCTTTGGGAAGATTTCCCACACTTCCTGTCAGGACAGGGAGCGATGGAAAATCTGTTTGTTAGGGACACAGACAAACACAAAACCAAATTTTTAGCAGAGTTGCAAGAACTGCAAACTTGTTGCTGTCCCTTACTGTCCTGGTGACAACTGCTCCACCATTTTATGTTCTACAAAATCAAGAAGTGAGAGGAAAAACCTACCAACAACATTAAAACGGGGTTTCTAACCCTTCCCCTTGCTATCCAAGTTCCAGAAAAATGTTTGACCTTAGTTCCAGTGTAACTATTTATTGAGTTAACAGACTGAGATCACATTATTTTTCCTTTGTTACAGATTGAAATGCTGGAGCACAAGTATGGCGGTCACCTGGTTTCCCGAAGAGCCGCGTGCACTATCCAGACTGCTTTCCGCCAGTACCAGCTCAGCAAGAACTTTGAAAAGATCCGGGACTCGCTTCTTCAGAGTCGGTTGCCCAGACGTATCTCCTTGCGGAAGGTGCGAGTGCATAACCCCGATAACTTTGCCTCTGCTGAAAAGGCTCTGCTCGAGAGCTACAACCTCATGGGTATTCCCTTGGTAAGGTCTCCTTCTCTTCCAGCCACCATCAGCGGAGCATTAACCGAGCTGGAAGACTCCTTCACCGAGCAGGTACAATCATTGGCCAAATCTATTGACGATGCTCTTAGCACGTGGAGTCTGAAGACCATGTGTGCCTTCCCGGAAGCTGGCTCTTACCAGATCCGAGAGACTTTCATGCAGCAGAATCCTGAAATGGAACCGGCAAAACGGGAAGAGCGAGAATACGAGGAAGGGCAATTGGGGACATTGCCGAAGAGCAGCAGTACGTTGATGATGGCATTCAGAGATGTGACTGTTCAGATAGACAATAATAATATCTCGGTCTCAACATCAACTTCTCTGTCTATGTCCAACTGTCTTGCGGAAGCTCCAAATTCAAAACCAGAAGAAGATCGGACTGGTGGAGAAAGCAATCCAGAGCCCCCTTCTCAGGAAGGACCAACAAATGACTCTCAGCTTATTCAGAACTCCTTTCCAGAAGTCAATGGAGAAGGGCTGGGGAAGGAGCTAGTGGGGCCTGTCCAGGCCGAAACAGAACCAGCTGACCTCTCAGAACAACTGAGCAGCAGTAGCACGTCTACCTCGGCAAAGTCTGTGTCAGAGGTTTCTTCTAAGGAGGCCTTGCAAGCCATGATCCTCAGCCTTCCTAGATACTATTGTGAGAATCCAGCCAGCTGTCGCTCTCCGACTTTGTCCACAGACACCATAAGGAAAAGACTCTACCGCATTGGACTCAACCTCTTTAACGTGTAAGCACAGGCAGAGGGCTAATTAGCTATTGGCAAAATTGCAATAGGTCTGGCAACAAATCCTAAATCATTAAAGTATATGTAAACCCAAAGCTATTATATTAACTTTGTATAGAGTAGAGAATGTCTAATTCCCAAGGTTTTCCTCTTCTGTCTGTGTCCCGTACCTGTGCAGAGACACAAAAGGAAGTGAGAGGAAAACTCCCCAAGTTGAATGGAAATTCCCTCTTAGATTGTTGTCACTAGAACAAGTGTCCCCACTGGAACATCTTTTTCTGGTTACAGATGTTACATTTTGGATTTCCTAAAATGTAATCACTTTGGGAGTGAGGTAACGGGATGCTTGCTGGTAGTACCATGTACTTCTGTTGCTGGGTATTAAAGTCCTACACGCTGAAGTTTGATGACTTTCTCTGCTTGCTCAAAGTATGTTGGTAGATTTCCCTAGTGAAATGAATCATCAGCCATGAGCTATAGACATAATCATTTTTAGAAGGTGTTCCCTGAGACCTGAAAATAATTGTATATATTTTAATAATATAAAGAACTATGGCTAAAACCAATAAGTCCTACAAAAGTATATCGGACAGCAGCCTGGATGTACTGTACATAATGTTGGGTGTACTGCTGAAAATCATAATATAATACTGGATGTAACAAGTGAGGTTGGAGTTAGCATAAATGTGCCCTAGTTCAGGTGCCAAAGGTTTTGACTTTAAAATAATCCTGCGATCAGTCTGTGAACATTAAAATACTTACACAGTCATAACAAGCAGTAGATAGGCTTTGAAACAAGCTTTCACTAACCTCTGTAGCTGCAGACACTGTGCGATTCATCCTCAAATTTCCAACAAATGCAATGTAGTCTTTCAAGTGCTTCTCTCAGCAGGACTTGAGCTCCCCCTGTTTCTCCCTGCTAGCAGTGACTCAGCAGCTCATCTTCCCCTGCTTCTCCCTCCCTGCAGTTACTCACCAGGTCAGTTAAAGCTTCTCCCCCCTTCCAGCAGTGACTCGGAAGTTCAGCTTATTCTTCTATTGCCTTCTAGCAGTGACTGGACTTCTGTGAGCTGTCCTGTTAGAAGGTACCAGTAGATTGGGATGAGCTGTTGAGTTACTGCTGAGTTACTGCTTGTTGATAATAGGTAAGTACTAGATTGTTCAAAGCCTGACCACAGATTTATAGATGTCTTGCGGATGCATAACCTCTGTATCTGTCAGGTTACTGACCATTTCTGAGAATTGCCAAGTTCTTCAATGTGATAAGTGTAAATCACGCAAACTAAAAATAAATATATTTGTAAAAAATTGCCAAATTCTATGGCTTTAGAAGCACCCATCACATTTCCAAAAGCTGATAATTGGCGTACCAGGCCTGCAGGACTGCTTAACTGTACCCTGCCTCCCCCTTTTACTCTCCATCCTAAACATTTGGGTTGCAGACTTTTTTTTTAATCTTCCGTTCTCCTTTTAAAATAATAGATATTTATTCCAAAATAATCCAATCACAGCTTTCCTTTTGGTGCAAATTTGGTAACTTATTGTTGTTCTCTCCACAGTAATCCTGACAAGGGCATCCAGTTCTTGATCTCTCGTGGTTTTATCCCCGACACCCCTATAGGGGTGGCGCACTTTTTGCTTCAGAGGAAGGGTCTTAGTCGGCAAATGATTGGAGAGTTCCTAGGGAACAGTAAGAAGGTCTTCAACCGTGACGTCCTTGAGTGAGTAACAATCAGATACTACAAAATTGTGCCGGACAGCCGAGGGTTGCCTCGTGACTTGTTCTGTGAATAAAGATTTGGATGGGAGCCAGTGAGGGAATAGGAGGGCAATTGCCCTTCCACTACATTTTAATGTAAATTCAAAAGTTAATTTGATTGTTTTTAATGTGTAGTTTTCATAAAAATAATCCCTGGGGAGCCTGCCTTGTTTAGGCACCTTCTGTTAGGGTGACAGCTTGTGCTCCTGCATTGTCACCCTGTCACATGCTCCTCTCATGGAGAACATGCCGATACACATCGCACAGGCATGGTCCACCGTTGTCACTGTAGGAAACCTGTCCAGAACAATGTTGTGCAGCTGATGCTGGAGTACGTTCATATAGAAATAAAGTGGCTGAAAGAGACTGTAGGAGATCAACAGCACTGAGATGCACAAAATAGTTGGAAACAGTATTTTATGAAAAAAGGCAGGTATTTGAAGACCTACTAAAGCAATTGATTTATATTTTCCCCACATTCACATGCAGTCCAAGCTGTTCATCAAATGTGACAGTTACAGGGGTTGGGACAAACCATATAACACTGCTGGAGATGCAGTGCTATATGGTTTTATTTATGTAGTTTTTTTAATGTAGTTTGTTTTCCAAAAGAAAAATAGAATGTTCCTTAAAAAGTGTTAACTGGAGGTGGCCTTTAATTTGTTAGTCCATCTAAAACTACCCTATCTACATTGTGACAACGCTGCTGTGCCATTCCAGTGCAGAACACGGACATCAGTGGACAAATTACAGATCTACTGGCAGGTTAGACAGGTAATACAACTATGTTATGGGGAGACAAAACAGAAACTGCTGAGTTAAAGTTAAACTCCAGAATAAGCAAATATTGTCTACATACAAGAGTTGTGTATTCTTAAATCTTGGTGTGCTTTGTGTATGTCTTCCAGATCTGTGCAGTAATCCAGTGTGATACTTTACCTCTGTGCAGGAGCTTCCTGTAACAAAGACCGGTCACTACTGCTCTCTCTCAATGTGCAGGGCGACTGGTCTTGTATCTGCCCCTCCTGTAGTTTTCTGCAGGCAGCCTGCAGTGGTTGGACACCTACTTTGCCCCCCACACAGCTCTGCTCTCTGCACAGGCTATGTTCAGCACAGTGATGATATCACTTCTACTTTTACAAGGTTTTATTGGGGTTTGCAAAGACATTTGGCTCACACAAAGTGGATTTGTGCTTTATGTCTATTGAAAAATATATTTATTTTTTCAGCTTTAATGCTAGTGATAGTCTGTCAATGCTAGTGATGCTTTAATGCTAGTGATATCATATGTCACGTTTTACTTTGCCCATAGTTACACTTTAAGACTGAGTCATTACAACTTTGCAGTATTTTTTCTTTGTAATTAGGGGAAAATATGTCATAAAAAATTGTCAAAATGAAATGTATCTTCCAAGCACAACATAGACTTCCTCTGTTATGCATTGCCCTCCTTTGTCACAATAACTCGGATTCTGAGCTCCTCACCTGAGCTCTGTAACTAGGTCAGCCTAGTCAACACACATTACACGCTCCAAGCCCTCACGCATCGAAATGCACCGCTATACTGGGCTCTCTGTATAAAAAATGATTACAAGGGCAGCTGAAAAATAACTTCATTTATGACAGAATAGAATTCAGAGCTTCTGAACATTTCTTATAGAGCTGTTACATGATTGAGGGGCTAGAGTTACAAGGATCACTTGGGGATGAGTACTTTTGTTGCAGAATTATTTTTACTACAAAATTACAGATTTTGCAACCAGCAAACTCTCCATTTTCTCATTGAGCTACTTAGGTGAAATTTGTTTGAGAACATTAAATTACATATTTTTCCTTTTTTTTTATGTAGAGGGTGTCTTTTTCTAGGGACTGGAGAAAGTGGGCTTTGCTGATTGTAGAGCTCTAGGTAGGGAAACCACTGCTTCCATACAGAGAGCAAGAGTCCTTCTCTGCAGCATGCTAGCATTGGACAGGCTTTTTCTACTCTGCTTTCTATAGAAATTAACTATTGGACTTTGCACACCTTATGATTTGATGCACCTGAAATGTCTTTAGTTGATTTAAATTGAAAGTTCAATTGGGCTTGCATTATATTTTTCCTTTATTTGATCCAAATATTGAAAGAAAAGGCTTGGAAATCCCTGGTTTCAAGTTTGTTCAGTAAGGTAAACAACAGTCTGCAAAGGGAAATAAAACAGAAGCTCATTATATTTTAGTGTGCTGCAGATCAATACAACAAATTCTGGTTGCTTCCTAGGAGTTGCAGTTGTTTGTACAGAATCATTGTTCTTTGCAACAATCTGTTGAAAAAAAAACTTAGAGACAGGTAAATGTGGTGACGGGTTCCCTTTAAAAATGGCACAGCAGAAGAATTCTTCCACAAGTTTCTGCCTAGAACAATGCTGAGTGTTTCATGTGCTGACCTCTTGCCTCTTTCAGCTGTGTCGTGGATGAGATGGACTTCTCCAACATGGAGCTGGATGAGGCTCTGAGGAAGTTCCAAGCACACATTCGCGTCCAGGGTGAGGCACAGAAGGTTGAGCGCCTGATAGAAGCTTTCAGGTGAGGCTCTTATGACTTGCGACCTAAGCAGGACCTTTAAAGTTGTTTCCACTAATGTTTGTTCTTCTCTCCATCATAGCCAGCGCTACTGTATGTGTAACCCGGAAATTGTGCAGCAGTTCCATAATCCGGACACCATCTTCATTCTAGCCTTTGCTGTTATTCTGCTTAATACGGACATGTACAGCCCCAGCATCAAACCCGACCGCAAGATGATGCTGGAGGACTTTATCCGTAACCTACGAGGTCAGAAACTGTATCCAGCCAGCTGCTTTTTGTTTCTAGTGTCTAGTTTCACTGGTGTGGAAGTAGGGAGATTTTAGGCAATGCTTTCTGGGAAATTTATACAAATATCTCTCTCCATTAGGGGAGGACTGGGAACTTTTAGCCTGGGGGTAAACAAAACCAATTTACCCTTTAATATTAGAGCAGTTTCCTGCAGGCTAAAAAAAAAGTATATCAAGCAGTGTTCCATGGTACCACAGTGATTGGCTGGCATGGTAAAGGGTGGGTGAAAGGACAGGGCTTATCAAATCACAGTTTTTCACATATTTCAACACCCGCATCCTTAGTGCCTCTCAGCATTCAGTCAAAGACTTTAAAAGAAGATGGTACTGAAAGGCTTCCCTCTGCCAGCTACTACCATTGCAGGTCTGAATGGGGAGCAAATAACTATATAATAAGCAGCATGGGCATCAGCCCAACATATCTTATTAGTATTGGCCTGGAAGGCCAGTCCAGTCCTTTTCTGCTCTCCATTGCAGGCTTGTAAGTGAATGTTCCACTCACTGAGTTTTTAGTGCATTCCATGGCCTTTGCCAAAATTGAACACCTCTGATCAGGTGTGGTGATTCTGTAAGTAAATTCTCACTCTTCTGCGGTTTTGAAGTCTCACATGGCCTGTACGAAGGATGTCCATGGGGCTTTGGGGGACCAAAACCACCAGGCCTTTGCTGATCCAGTGGGGTGAAACAGTATTGTCCTTTGGTCCTTGTTCAGGTTCAGCAAAAGCCCTTTGCTTGCAGTTAAGGTGTCTTGCTTCGTCTCCACAGCACTCAGAACTCTTTTATAACATATGGCAGAAAAACAGTTAAGAAATTATTATTATTATTATACAGGATTTATATAGCGCCAACAGTTTGCGCAGCGCTTTACAATATAAGGAAGTTACCATCTCCTTATGGCTTTTGTGACCCTGTTTCAACTTGTCTTCCCAGGAGTGGATGATGGAGCTGATATCCCTCGAGATATGGTCGTGGGAATATATGAACGGATCCAGCAGAAAGAACTGAAATCTAATGAAGATCATGTGACTTATGTGACAAAGGTGGAAAAATCCATCGTGGGCATGAAAAGTGTATGTATGCTTCTTTCCCATACATATTATTTGGATTAACCAAAGTTTGAGGTGGCCTGCTTGGCTTTCTTCGAGTGGGTTTCTGAAGATGTCCAAGGAGACCTGATCCAAGTTGTCTGCTACTGATAGCTTCAAAGCCATAGGTGATAAAACAGACAAGGGCAAGGGTTTCTAAGCAGGACATCCTTGTCAACAACAGGGAAGGGGCAAGTGTACGGATTTACCTCTCTCTCTCAGAAAGTAGAAAAACCTTTTAGACATGTTTGCTTGTCTTCCACATTGCAAACAAAAATATATAAATATTACTATTTAGAAAGAAACAGTCCAAACAAAGGTGATATTTTAGTCATAGATGGAATCTGACAACATCTTCCTGATTTCTGTCTACCTGGGAGTTTTGGGCCCTCCCCCCAGCTTTATGATATCCCATCTCCTCCAGTTACACTCTTCATAATATAAAATCCAGCAAGGATGGTGGGAACCCCTCATAAAGGGCAAAGGAGGCATGCAGGCCCGAGAATTCAGTGCAGAGATGGTGAAAGCACATAGCAGGTGTGTAGACCCCGAAACGCAGCACAGGGATGGTGGGAAGCCCTCATAATGGGCACAGCAGGTGTGTAGACCCTGTAACTCAGTACAGGGATGGTGGGAACCCATCATAATGTGTGTGCAGAGATTTAATGAAGAGTCCCCAAAATATAGAAGACACTGTCAGGTGGTTTAACTTCTACTAAACAGTGAACTATCAGCTTTGAGTGGACTGACCCTTTAATCCTGTGCTTTGATTAGTTATCTATAATACAGTCAAGGATAAAACCTTTGTAACTCCCAGCAGGCGGTACATATTGATGATGTGGCAGTCTGTGATAGGCTTTTGTGTTCCCCGCAGGTTCTCTCTGTCCCTCACCGGCGTCTGGTTTGCTGTAGTCGTCTCTTCGAGGTGACGGACGTAAATAAACTGCAGAAACAAGCAGCACATCAGAGGGAGGTCTTCCTCTTCAATGACCTTCTGCTGGTAAATATTAAGAAGCCGATATCCCAGTACTGACAGCTTCTGCTGTAACAGCCTTGCCAATAGGCTCTTATAAATCATATGTAAACCCTGACCGTGAATTTTCGTTATTTGCTCCCTTTTTGTCTTTTAAAGTTAACATTAAAAGAGTTTGTTATACCTGTTTGATAGGTGCAAATAATACCTGTTGCTCCTGACAGAAATCCAGTGAGCTAATAACTTAGTTTGTTCTTTGCCTGTGCTTTTAGTAGTTACTTTGGTCCTAGCTTTCTCTGTGAAATACAGAACAGCTTCTCTTTAATGTTGTGGAAAAGGGAACTGGGGGACGTTTTCTGTAGTCCTGTCCTAGGGTGTTAACACTCCATAAGTACAGTACAGAGAGTGAATGTTGTCACCCCAGGACAGGAAGTGTGTCACTGGCCTAATCGTCAGGTGAGGATAAAGGATAAAAAATGAATAAAGAAAACTAATGCAGTCACCATGTCTAAAGACTGGTAATCTGCAATATATGCCATTTTTTTGTTTTTTGTTTTGTTTAGATAACCTTTAATGTTTACCTGTCATGGCGGGAACATGGAAGCTGTAATTTCTGATCCATTTTTCTAAAAATGCTAATCATCTGACTAATACTGACTCTCTTTCTTCTATACTGCTTTGATTCAATGACCCAGAACAAATATGCAGATAAAGACTTTCAACTTTTCGCTAGTTTTCCTTTCTCTGGGTTAGTGGATCTGAAAATAGTGAAGGGAGTGTTTCAGATTAACATCCAGGTAGCTAGCATTTTCAGAAGGAGTTCAACCATGGCAGCTCCCATATTTTTCCTGATATATCTCCTTTACCTCTTCCTTTTTTGTGTTTGTCCTGGTGACCATTGTCATTAGACAGAAAGTGAAGGAAATTTCAAAAGGTTGAGTTGTTATCAGAACTGGAATAGAGGGGGAATCTACCAATGGGGTCACCTTTTCCAGTGACTACTGTCTAAAAGGGGATTTGCTCCCACTTCCTGCTGTCTCTGCAGGACAGGAAGAGTGGGTAAATCTCCCCATGCAGCACATATGGCAGAAAACAACCAGACAGGGGTTTTAGCCTTTCTTTCTTCTACCCAGAATTAAAAGACATGTTTTAGGTTTACATATACTTTAATGTAAGTAACCTTAGGAATGCAAGTTTATGTTATAAAAACCTTGTTCCTAAGTTCTGATTATGTATAGATATAGCTGAACTTCAGTCAGAAGTACTAATTCTCCATTTCAAAGACATCCCCTTATCTTAACTGGACCTGCAATCATTTTTTCAGTAGACTCAGTTATCCATGAACAGATAGCCCCGAAAAAGCTCCACCATAGGGCTTGACTGTGCTGGTTCATAAGTGCTCTCCCTAGTGCAGCTCTCTATGAGCCATCTACTCGTTGTTTATTATTCTTTTTATAGTTTTTGAAGGGAAGTACTAATGTCAGTACAATGTGCCTACAATATTGGATATACACTGAGTGGCCAGTTTATTATGACCACCTGACATTTGTAGGCAAATTAGCTATAATTAGCTAAAATTTTGCGCTGAAGTTGCTAGAGGGCCAGACCATTATAAATAGGGAAGCAGGTTGTTTACCACGACAGTAGAAGTGATTTGTTTCTGAAGATACGTGTAAACAACGCGATTTAACAGCCTTTGAACGCGGGATGATTGTTGGCGCTCGGAGCCATGGAGGGAGTATCAGCAAAACAGCAGAATTCATTAAATGTTCAAGAGCAGCTGTTGTTAAAGTGTTTAAAGACTGGACTGTCAGCCGAAAATCTAGGTCTGAAGGTGCGAATTGTGGCCGTCAGCGACCAGTCAATGTTAGGGCAGAACGGAGAGTGGCAAGACTGGTACAAGACAACAGAAGGGCAACAGTGCAGTGTCAGATTCCTCGCATCACCTTTCAACATCTCGTGGAGTCACGAGGTGGCCCAACAAAGTCATCTCGTGGAGTTATCTCGTGACCCAAAGAAGTACTGATGGGTGGTCATAATAATCTGGCCACTCAGTGTATTTTGTGTTCTTGCTGGTCTTAAACTGCCCATCCCTGCCCTCAGCCCTAGATTTATAGTATGCTGTGCTGTTCCTAGAATGTGTATATCATGTAGGCCCCTTCACAGATCCTGCTTCTTGTTGCCCCAAGGTAGCTGCAATGCTTAGGAAAGGCGGTGAGGTCAGAGATTTAAGAACGTTGTTCTCAACGTTAAGAGAGTTTTTGAAATCATTTTTATTTGTACATCAGGAAGGCACATTTATGGCACAAAAGATGATCCTTGAGTTCAGCTTTATACTTAGTTCATTTTCCTGAGGGCAATCATGTTTGCTCATTACAAGTACGGGTTTCCTGTTTAGCCATTCTAATGACTATGTCAGTAGTTATTGTGGATCACAATGTTAACTGGACTGAAATAGTTTGGCATTTCAGTTGTTTATTTAGCTAATATTGTGTTAGAAATGTAGTGGGTCCTTGTGGACTTGGGCCCCAAAGTACTATTTATATAATGATTCCATTCTATTTATAGTACAGTAATTGTATAGCACACTTGGTTCTGTAGAAGATCCAGTATATACTTGACAAGGGCTTAGCATGTCACCGTACACAAATGTAAAACAGGAGTTTCCACCATCTGTAAATCTTCTTATGAAATTTGCAAAATGTCCACTGTCCTTGCCATCCAGAACCATTTTCCATCCTGTGTTACTAAGAATACCTGTCTCTCTCCTTCAGATCTTAAAGCTGTGCCCCAAGAAGAAGACCTCTTCGACCTACACGTTTTGCCGAGCGGTACCTCTCCTGGGGATGCAGTTTCATCTCTTTGAGAATGAATGTGAGATATCTTTTTGTGTCTGCTTTTGAAGAATGAATAACTTTACGATCACTCAAACAGAAGAGCGGGGAGAAGAAGAATCACCTGGTTATATATAACTAAAAAACGCCCTCCAGTCCAGTTACTCATCCATAATGGGGATTTGTATTACTTTCCTGGTGTTCTGGAGGCTCCTGCATTTATATATACTTAAAATGTGCAAAGATTCCTTACTGGTTGCTGTGAGCTGCAGTATATCGATGATTATTGTTAAACGAGCTCCTCATAGGTGGAGTCAGCAAAATCTGCACCTTAGTAGACTAGCCCAGTTACTTATTCATAATGGGAGAATTTTTTAATGCTTTTCTGCAGTTTGGATACTCCTGCTTTTATATAAATACTTGAAATTCACAGATATACATTACTGTTTGCTTTAGATTTAATGTATCAATATTTATTGCTAAACAATCTCCTTGTGGGTGGAGTTAGGAAAATATTGCACTATAGAAGAATAGTATAATGAAGGTTTTTGCAACCAAATGTTATGATCCTGTGTTATTATCAAAGCTTTCACTCTCACTCCCAGATTACCCTCACGGGATCACATTGGTCAGTCCTCTTTCGGGATCTGAGAAGAAGTTAGTTCTGCACTTTTGTGCTCTCGGCTCGGAGGAACTGCAGAAATTTCTAGAGGATCTGAAGGAATCTATTTGTGAAGTGACAGAGATGGAACAGATACGCATTGAGTGTAAGACATTTGCCTGTTTTTCTTACATAAAGAGAACATGTCGCCTTTTAGACTTTAATGTGTAAAGTCCATCTGCTTCTTTTATCGATCTTAGGTAAAAATTTTTGCAAATTCTCACCTGCTTCCATTTTGTAGCATACTTGCTAATGAATTCAAAGTCCAACTCTGGGTCATCAGAAGTATTTTTTTTTACCTTTTCCAAATGTCTTCAGGCCAGTCACATGACACACAGGGTCCTCTTTGGACCTTTTCCCAACAGTGGGTAATCCTCAATGATGCAGAGAGTGGAGCGGGTGTTATTATGGCAGTGCCGTTCCCTGCAATAATGTATGTGAGTACAGGGCACCATGGTTTCATGACGCCCTGCACCTAAAGTAATTCCTTAGTCCTTTGGGTGGATTGACACCGGACATCATTCAACCCGGCACACTGAGGACAGCTAGTGGCAGAAAGCATTTACTATAGGGCCCAGTGCCAGAGAGGAGGTAAATATGGTAGCAAGAGCTGTACTCACAGGTACGGAATCCCAACACTTTTCTAGCTGCATACTTTTCCTGGGTAGTGACTCACTATGATCTGGATGACAGCCCAGGATTCTACAACATGTTCTATACAATGCAATGTCATATAACGTGTGTTGTTTTTCTGCAGGGATCTTGCGCTGACTGTTTTGTCTTGTGTTTGCAGGGGAGTTAGAGAAGCAGCACGGGGTAAAGACCACCCCTGCCAAATCAAACGGATCTCAGCTGGACTTTCAGCCTAAGCAGGAGTCCCCCATCGGTGAGTTGTATATTCCTGCAGTGTCACAGTCTTGTCCGTCCTCCTGACCCGTGAGTTTACCCCAATCCGGCTGCTCCCTTTTTTTCATCAGCCCCATCTGTACTTGTCTCTATGTCCGTCTTTTTCATTCATGACCATTTCTCTTTGTCTGACTCATGATATTGGAACAGTTTCCAATCACCTTGCCTCAAGGATAGTGGACTTGATGGACTAATGTCTTTATTCAACCTCAAATACTATGTAACTATGTAACTATAGATGGAAAGATAGATGGGAAGATATATAGATCAGGAGAATCAGGAGCACAATTAGGGCATCAGGATCATGGAGATAATGCCAGTAACACAACTTCCTGTTGCAGACTGCCAATTCTAAGACACTGGCTCCCAATGAGCAGCAGTTTTGTCAGGTTGTCATGCAGGCTCCCTAAGTTGGCCACTGGGCTGCCTAATAGGTCCACAGCGGGCATGGGCAGACCTAACAATGGTCACCGGGACAAATAAAGAGGTTAGATCTACCCAATGGGAACACAGACAGAAATAAAAATGTAACGGGTTTGAAACCCTTCAATGCTTTCTCCGAGTCTAGAAAAATCAGTTTTGGCTGGTGTACCTTAACATTTACCCTTCAGCCACTCAGTGTATGTGCAGCTATTCTAACCAGGGATAGACATATGAAATACAGGGGATTATAAGAAGATGGGATGTTGAGAAGAGATATTTTCTAGGCCACAGAGAACTTCCTTCCTATAGGAGAAATCTGCCAGCTGTCACTTTGCTGCCTCCTTTGGCTGAAAGTACAGAACAAGTTTTCCCAATGATAAACATGTCTGTTCTCTGAGTTCGTGTAAGAGTTTTACATCCATATTATTAGTATACGTTAGGGTTGCCACCTTTTCTTCAAGCGAAACCCGAACACTCCAGCAACGCACAGTCATTTTTGTGGGAGAATGAGTCGTGGCTTGTTCAAATGTAAAAAGTGCCGCCCATTCATATGTAAATATCACAGCAGAGACTATTTTCAGCGGGGAGCAGTAGCCCCTATCCTAATTTTGGTTGCCCCTGTCTGCCTGACATCTTGTGTCTGGGTTTCTGCTGCTATGAAACCCAAACACAGCATTCAAAATCCGAACTGTCCGGGTGAGTCCTGGACAGGTGGCAACCCTAGTATACGTCCATGTTATTATAAACTGTCACACAGTGTGTAAAATTAGATTTTCTGAGCTCTGCAAGTTGTAATCATTTGGGAAAGCTTACCTTCTATTACATGAACCGTCAGCACAATATGATAAAGACCCATTTTCCTTGCTTCATGTTCCCTTCTCCTATAAAGACTATCCCTGTCATTACACCTCTCAGATATTACTGGTTTCTGTATCTGTCTTCCGTCACTGTCACTCTCCCTTCTTCCTGCATTCCCCATTCTGACCCTATTTCTTTCCGTTTTCCCGTGCTTCCACCTCTGTTCATTCTCTATTGCCACTGTCTATCACTTTCTTTTATTTCCCTGTTCTTTCTTTCTTTCTTTCTTTCTTTCTTTCTTTCTTTCTATCTCTCTTTATCTCTTGTTCTGTTTGTATCTTTATTTCCCTTCTTCTTTGAGTATCTCACTCCGTCACCATTTCCTTCCTTCCCTTCTTCCTTCTCCTCTTCCTTCTTCCCTTCCTTCCTTCTCTTACTGTCTCTTCTCTCTATATCTCTGTTTCGTTCTCCTCTCTTCTTCTTATATCTTCACTTTCTCTCTCTCTCTCTGTCATCTTCTCTCTCTTTCTCTCTCTGTCTCTCTTTCTTGCTCTCTCTTTCTTTCACTCTCCTGCACCTAAGTTCACCTCATATTTTGAAGGTAAGCACGAGTCACCTGAGAAGGACACTGGAGGCGTAGTGGAGGTGAGTAGGGCTGTTATGTAACAGGGCTGTGACACCGACCAATCACAATGCTCCATCCTGCGCTGCTCACCCATCCCTCAGCTCAGGACAACAAACACCCTGTGTGGCTAATCCTATTCCCATAGACACATGATGATATAGTCACCCCATCACCCTCACAATGTTCCTCATTAAAGTGTACCTGTTGCTGTTAGACAGTGGATGCACCCGTTTGTACTGGAAAGAGAAAAGAAATAAAGAAGTTTAAGACACACCAAACAGCCTTGGAATGGGCAGCTGAATTGGCCAGTTTGATCAAGTGAGGGATGAATGTCCTGCAGCTCCAAAAAGGCAGAGGATACCTTGGCTGAAACAACAAAGAGGAGCACAAGCACCCTATTTATGATCCACAAACCAAATATGGAAATAATAAAATAAGTGAATGCATTCACAATTGTAGAAGGTTTAAGCCTGTCAAGAGATTAGTAGTAATCATCCACATCATGTGCAAAAGTGGACCTTCACCTTCTCTCAGGAATAAAAGGACACAGGGGTTGCTAGCAGATGTATATGGCTTGCTACAGGCAGCAGGGAGGATGGGAGGTCATTTTGCGGCTGAGACAAACGCAGCGCTTTACAATTTGCCTGATCGCTGGCCATGGCAGGAATTGTTCGCACTCTCGTTTGAGCTGTAGCATGCACTTCCATCATCCATCCCTGTGAGTGCATACATGTTTTTTTATTTTTAAAATATTTTTTTACTTTTAATGAATAATTGATGCCCCTCCTACTGTGTTTTACTTTTTATTAGTTTTGGAGTACAAGAGTGCGGGCTCATATGAACACACCTCAACCTCCATGTATCTATTGTGCCACAATACTGCCATTGAATGATTTAATTGATATGCCTGGCTTGCAATGCTATTTGATCGAGCTTTGCTTGTTGCAAGCCTTATACATCTGCCAGCAGCCCCTGTGTCCTTTTATTCCTCTGAGAAGGGGAAGGTGCACTTTAGCACATGCTGTAAATGATAACCACTACTTTCCATTGGATTGATTAAAGGCTTGAGCTTTCTATACAATTGTGAGTGTATTTCCATTTTTAGATTTTTCCGTACTCAGTTTGTGGGTCACACGCAAGGTCTTTGCGCTCTTCATTTTTGCTGGAAACATACATTCCTCATGATGCTACCTAGGAAAACATTGTAGAAAAATAATTGTATTCCCTTCAAACTGCATCACTCAAACCCCAAAAGCCCTCCTATGTTGTACAGATAACACAGATATTTCTCTTCCCTCTGGTTTATAAATTACACCTAAAATACCCCCTTCATCTTGACAAACACAAACTCATATTATACACTAAAGTTACGTTTTTAGAAACAGGTGAGAACCTTTCAGTCCATACAAGTGCCAAAAATAACAACATCTCCAAATTGCAGACACGTTGTTATGCCTCCAAGTACATTTGTTAATCCTCAGATCCTTTCATGTGGACCCTGGGAGCCCCTCACTGTCATAAGCCTGCTGCACAAAGGTGTTCTGCTCTGTCTAAAAGCTAATCTTCCCTTTCTACCATTCAGTAATCAGTCTTAGTGGTATAGAGACCCACTCATTGGATTGTAGAATGTACGCTCTTCATAGGTGGTGCTTAGCTCTCTGAAATTTTGTAGACTGGCCAGACAAATTCAATATATAAACTTGCAGCTCACAAGCTGTCGTCCAGTATTTCTAGCACCATGGCTTGGACTGTAAAGTATTTTGTCAGTTCAGAACTCAACAATTTGGCTGTTCAGTAAGCAGATACTCAAACCTACCAACAGTCCTTGGCCACACCATGTTAGTCACCACTAATGTATTTGCAGCCCCCACCAGAGTGGATTGAAGATGTATGGAGAAGGGGTTATTTAGGTCTGAATTCCCCCAGGACCCTGACAGTACTTTGAAGGGCATTGTGATGTCAACACTCCTGATTTGCATTCTTGTTTTGGGTCAGTGACTCAATAAGCCCTATAGATCAGCATGTCAGCAACTCAACTGCCATTTACAGAAGAAAATCAGCTATGGTTTCCTCCATATTCAGTAGAACAAAGTCAAAACCTAATACTTCAATGATTTCGTTAGCAGCTAGCAAACAGGCTCTTTTGTTGCAATTATTGCTTGAGCCAAAAAAATGGTTAATTCCACTGTGATAAAGTGACAGGTACACTTTAATTCCTATTTTCCTTAATTTGCAGACCACAAAACAGGTTCCACCCCCATTTAAAGTTTTCATGGGCATTGTTTGCAGATAATCAGTAATGTTAATACCTAGTAAAGTGTTTGTGTTGACCGATTTTAAATTTTCCACAAAGCAACATTTTGCAAGATTCTGCATGATATTTTGACAGATAATATTGTAATGTCTATAATCTAAAGCTTATTCTGTCGCCTATGGGGAAGGAAGATATGGTGGTCTGCAATAAAGATTTTGCATTACTCCCTAATGCAAAATGATGTTTGAGGCTTTAGGGTCCTGTAGTGACACCCCCAGCATGCCACCCGCCCTCCCCAGGACACCTAGAGGTTGTAGTCTATTAGGACTGTTAGCTTCTGGGGTTAAAGGGCAGCCAGGACTAGCACGTGGGAGATAGTCTTGTAACATTTAATGCTTCTTTGGCTGTTTCTAAACTAGGTGTCAATTCACAACAGGCTTCAGACGTCCCAGCACAGCGGCCCCCAGGGGTCAGAGAATGGAGCTCCGGGCAGCACGGCTCCTAACGGGCAGCGGAAAGCTTTGCAGGCTGCCCCCTCCGACCAGCTCCTGCAGTATCAGCAGATTGTCAAGGTGATTGTGCTGGACACACCCGGCCGGGCAACATTCGCCCCCGACCAGACTGTCACCCGCTACCTGTCTGGGTCCTGCACCACTACTCCCCTGCGCAGCGTGGGAGGAAATGTCCACCAACCCCCGTTACCCCCGCCACCACCCCCTTATAACCACCCACACCAATACTGCCCTCCAGGGGTCCTTCTTAGAGAACGCAGATATTCCAGTGGCTCCCGGAGTCTTGTTTAAGCAATGGGTCACTTACCAGTCTTTTAGGACTAATCTGCTTACACATATACCAAACCTTGCACATCTACCACACCTTGCACATCTACCACTTGCTCATACCCACTAAATCCTCATGAGCACCCATCCTTGCACCCACATTCCTGCACATACTATAAAAAAAATATTGTTGCACATTCATGTTGATCTCATATACACTCCTCCAACAGGCATTTCTTGCACACTTATCCCTTTTTATACCCCTCAAAAGAGTCCAGTTTGTGTATTTTTAGTAGGTTTAAGCTATCTCCACAATATTTTTATTGTGGAGAAAACTTTGTATGGTCAGCCTGTCCCAGACAAGCCCCCAAGTCATTTTGTTTTGCCCTCCTTTTTCTTCCACCCACGTTAATCGGGGCTCCTGCATAAAATGACACGCCTGGATTTTGCGGAAATGGCCCCTCCTCTCCACTCTTAGCTGAAAATGGATTGACCTGGGAACGGTTTTCAGAAAAGCGAAATTTCCAATTCAAATTTCCAGTGACCCGCCTGAGGAACTATGGATCAGCGACCAAAGCAAAGCAGGAATATTTTTGAAATGGGCAGAAGATGGACTAATGAGTTGCATGTTATGCACTGCTTAGATCTTTATGGACAAACCTTCAATGTGGATTTTGTTTGGTAATGTTCTGAGCAGTAAGGGGATTTATGTAAAAACTTGGTGCTCTTCAAGAGCAAATGCTGCTGTCACGGGTTCAGCAAATTGCACACATTCATGGATAAAAATGTACAATGGTAGGCGCAGAGAAGAAGAAGAACTTCATCCAGCTAGCTAAAACAGATGTACCATAAAGCTCATGGCTTTTCTAAAATGTCACCCTCGAGTATCTCAGCAGGTCTATGATGTACCCTTGTTTTAAAGGGAAACAGTAGTGTTATATCAGTGAATATACAATGGGGGGAATTTATCAAAACTGGAGCAGAAAAAGTCTGGAAAAGCTGTGCATTCCAACCAATCAGCTTCTAGCTTTCATTTTCAAAGCTTAACTGAACAAGTTGAAGAGAAAAGCTGATTGGTTGCCATGCACAGCTGCTCCAGTTTTGATAAATTCGCCCCACTGTGTGTTATTATTGTAACATTTACCCATGATTGATTTACGACTTGACATATATTTTCTTATATATCAATTGTTGCAATCAGTATACAGATTTGTAAATGTTTCCTCTATCCACCTTCTCCATATCAGGGAACACGATTAGCATCTCTGCTTAAGGACTGCTGTGAATAGCTAAGCCTTTTAGAGATCAATTTGTTTTCAGTCATTCAGAGTCGACCCATAGACTTGTATGACTCCTCATATTTCATGAACAAATATGTCTGCATTAATTTACATAAATATTTACAATCTGTAGATGGAAACAGGGTTTTTAAAGAATTATCACTCACCAATAAGACAATTTATTATTAAGCAGATTACATTTTGATATATATATAA